GCGGTCATGTGGTGCGCTCTGACAAACTCGTGGAAGCGCGTGCCGACCTCGTTCTCCTCGGCTGTTTCTCCGTAGTCGCCTATCGAGTCGGTGATGTGCTCCCCCGTTGTGGCGTTGGCGTCGATCTTGATGAGGTCGACTCCGAATTTGGCGGTAATGTTGCTGATGGTGGCCCACAAAGTACGTGGTGCAACATGTTGATGCGGTTGGAACACAAGTAATGCTTGGCGCCATTTTATTCCGCGCGCGGGATGTCGGGGTCGCGATGGGCGGGCGGCCCAAATTGTAGTCGTCGTGCCCACTCGGGCTCACGTGGAAGCCGCGCGTGTGTCGTGCCCCTTCGTAACTCTGATTCCTGAAGCCCGACTAGGTGGCTGTCCATGGTCTTCCGTGGGTGGCTGAGGACCTCGATCCTGGTGACCTATCTCATCTGCCCCTGCCGGTGTGGGTCGGCTCGTTGAAGCTGCGGGCGTTGAAGGTCATCGTGGCGAGGTTCACCTCTACTCTCTTGATGGTTTGGTCCTGCAATGGTCTGAAGTGTTCTGGCTTAGATGCGGCGTTTGGTGCTGCCACTTCCATGCCGGGGTCGGTTGCTTCTGGGCATGCTCTCCGCGCGTCGCCGTCGGTGTGCTGTGGCTGCCCCCATTGCCGATGATGTTGCTCATCAAATAGAGCTGTCCATTTTGGCTGTGGGCTTGTCTCGTCACGCTTGCTGGAACTCTTTGCCGTTGAATCGGCCAACTCGTTCCTGGGGCGGCCTGCGTGAGCGCGCGCGTGGTCGGTGCAAGGGTCAGCGGCGTAGGGTGGCAGCTGGAGTAGATCGGTAGTGACTGTGTATCTCCGTGCGCGTGCCCAGATCAGCGTCGTCAGTTCTGCCGTTGTTGATGCATGCTTGTCCCGTCGTAGAATGGTGACTTTGGCTGACATGGTGCCCGGCATCTTCGGCGGAACACTACGGCCCAAGCGCCCTTGCTGGAGTCGGTCTGGTGAGCGCCGTCGGCGCATGGGTGGATCCGCTCGATCGCTCCGTGGGTTCTGTTCTGGGCAGGGCAAGTCCCAGCGCCATGATGGCCGCTGGGTTGACCCACTCTCCGGCTCATGTAAATCGGGGGGGGTCGGTGGCGAGGTGGGGCGTGGAGGTGTGCTTGAGGACGTCGGCGATCGGCTCGGTCACTGCGACGTGGGCCTTCGCCGCCAGTTTCGCTGGCCTCCTCGGATGATGGTCTCCCGATTCTTGGCTCTCTCGCGCGGAGCGGGGCTGCTCGTCGGTCGACGTCTGTCGTTGGTGGACACTGTTGTTGACCTCCTGGATGGCCGGTCTTTAAATGTTGCCATGCGATGCGTTGCCTCTGCCGCTGCAGGGGCCTTCTTCCATATCTGCAGGGCAGGGGAAGGGTAACCGGTCACGGGGCATCCGATGTCGAAGGAGGTATCCCGCGTCCCGTATCAACATTGAGCCGCTAAATCCCACTTGAATCCTCTCCCTGGGCTGTGCTGGTACGGTGGTGCACTGTGGTGCTGTTGGAAGAGGTAATGGTGTTGGCCGTCGTGTATTTGCTGCGTCGTCCGTCGCTGCGCTACCCTGAATGCGGGGGGCCGCTGGCTTTGCATTCCGTCGGAGTTGCGCCGTGGCTGATCCCCGTCGGTGGTCAGGGTCCGTTGGTCTGCCCGCCTGAATTAGCTCGTTTGCGCATTGTTCGAGGTCATTGTCGCCTCGCGCGGCTATGTGACCGCCAGTGTGAGTCTGCTGATACCCTGGCGACTTTGGCTTCTTCATCCGTTGTAACCTTGTCGGTGGGACGATGGCAGGGGCTTGCTGCTCGTGGCGTCATCTGTTTGGTCGGGGCGACGCCGTCTTCCCTTCTCCTCGCGGGTGATGGCGAGCCGATGATGATGGTTCCTTGTGCGTGGATGGAGGACGGATGTGGTTGTCCTGGTGACGTGGATCATGGTGTCTATGCTGGTGGCGTTGGCCGTTCCATCTCGTTGGTCTGCTGAGATTCTCCTGGTGGCGTGGTCGTGCATCTCTGTGTCCGTGGCGGAGTGGACACGCGGTGATGCCCCTGGTGGTGTTTGCATAGTTGTGGTGCTTGTGCTGCATGCGTTTCAGCTTCTGGCAGGTTTTCGTCGGACTGTGTCTGGGTCTCCTGTGTTTTTCTATCCTCTAGTGGACGCTCCAGTGGCTGGGCGATTAGGAATGCCGCAGTCATTGCAACCGCGAAACCCCCGTTGTCCGCGCCGGCCGGCACGCTGACTGCCTGGTTGATGACGCCGCCCACCTCGACGTTATTGAGGCGTTGCAGGGCGAAGAGAGCCGTCTGTCGGGCGTGCTGGAACTCCTCTGTAGCTTCCTCCGTCCTCTTCTCGTGCGTCTCCTTGATCGGTCTCTGCTGTGTCTCCTTGTGGCGGCATGCTTGTTATTCGCGTTGGAAGGCTTCGCGTTGTTGTGATGCGCCCATCTTAACTCGCTGCAGTGCGAGCTGACCAGTCCTTCAGCCTGTAGGCCATTGTAGTCTATTTGCTGGTCGTAGGTGCATGTCGGTGATGACCTTTTGTAGGGCCCTTCTTGCTGCGTGGTGTTCTCAAGGTCCCTTTTACGCATGTCCTGCCTGATGCTGGCAAGCCTCTGCTGGCACTCCTCGTGTGCCATGTGCATAGTAGCCCCCCAGGCGCCTGTGTTGCTCGAGTAACTCCTGCTTCGCTTGAATTTTCTTTCCGCGGCATCGCCCCACCTCTGGTGCAAGATCTTGTCATCGCTGTGGTCCCTGGTCCTGGCTTATGCCGCTTTAGCCTTGATGCTGGCAATGTGGCCCTCGGCTTCTAGGGTCATGTTGTAGTACTTCTGCCTTTCCCCTGCAAGCTGTTCAGCGTCTCGAAGATCCCTTTTCATGTTGTCCTGCATGTGGTTGCTGTCGGCAACCTTCTTCTTCATTTCCTAGTGTCATCTCTGTTGTTGACTGTCGCTTGTTGCCAGCAGCTGATGTCCCATATCAGCTGGCGACCTCCCCATGGCTTCGATCCCCTCCTCCGCCCTGTTGAGCTTCTCTGCGCTGATGGTCTGCACGTGCTCGTGGTGTGCTGCCATACTTTCTGCGGTATACTTTGAGCTTTCCGTATCAATAAAACAAATCGACGTGTTAGCTGTCCCCCTTTGTCGCCTCGTGATGCTGATTCTTTTCGCGTCGGCGCTGATTGTCCTCCTTTGTGATCCTGAGCGTGGTCCGACGTCCCGCCCGTCTGTGGCATCCCCTGCCCTTGCCTGCGTCCTTGGGCCTGGTGATGGTGTAGCCGATCTTCTTGGCAGTTTGCTCCTTTGTGGTTGATCTACTTCGCCATCAGCATACCGTTAATTTGTTGCTGGTGGATCTCTGGGTGCTCGCAGTTATCCATGGCCCTCTTGGTGTCGACGATCTCCCTCGCCTGCTGGGCCACGGGCATGACGTTGAGGGCCATCGTTTTGGTGGAGGCGATCTGTGTGACGGCGTCGGTGGCATGAGCCTGCTGCGCTGTTCTTGACGATAGCAGCTGCCGCTCTGAGCTCCTCAGCGTGTTTGATATTTGCCCATTCGCCCCTCAGCTTGTGGTCGTTTGGGGGTAGCTCCCAGTTGTGCCTCCTGACGGCGAATTTTTCCTCATGGACATGACGTTGTTGATCGTGTTGGTGATGTGCTCGTTGTAGTTGTTGTTGTTGCGGTTATGGCCGTCTGTCTTATTCTTGGGATTGTCCTGTTCGGGTTGGGTTCTGCTTTTTCCCAGGTTGTTATTGCTCGTGCCCTTCTGGTTGTTGCTGGCGGGCCCCCTTGCCGTCCTGATAGTTGCCTTTCCCGTTGTCGTTCTGGCTCCAGGGCTTGCCGGGTGGTTGACGGCCCACCAGTCGATCCACTTGTGGTTCCAACGCTCGAGTCCTGCACCGATGGCTGATGTAGTGGGCCTCGGTGTTGCAACTCTGGATGGTGGGCGGCTCGATGCTGATCTCCACGGTGGTTGCGCCGATCCCGATCCGCTCGCAGTTGCGTTCCATGATGTCGTCATGGTTGGAGCTTGATGTGGATGTCGCGGTGGCTGTTGCGCGCTGTGACGCGCCAGGAGTAGCTGTCGTGTTTCGTGGATCCGCAGTAGTACTCGGGCGTCAACACGATGTCGGCGTAACCGCCTGTGCCAAGCGGGGCTGCGGGACCTCTGGCCCTTTGATGTCGTAGCCGTAGATGCGGTAGTTGTCGCAGCCGATGTCGGTCGCGATGCGAGGTGGCGTCGCTATCGCGGGCCTGATGGGCCTGTGATGGCCGCGCTGGCCGCCGCCTCGGCCCCCCTGCGGGGCAAATGGGGGCTCCTCCTCCTCGTTCGCTCCCTCGTCCCTCCTCCTCGGATCGTGCCCCCTTATCCTGAAAGGTATCCAGTCCACTGGCAGAAGAGACGTCGCGTCCCGGCTGCCATCCCCGGGGACCCCCCCGCTGCGAGCGAGGGCAGACGGGGCACGCCCACCAGGGTGAACAGAGTGCAGAGCCTGCTCACACCGATGCCGCTGCTGAGGCATACTTTGACACCTGCCGCGCGCATGTGCCGTCGCCACCTCTTCCGCGACGGCGGCTGCCGAGCCGCCGCTCCTGCTGCTGCCAGCAGGGCAGCCACGTCGCCACTGCGCGCACGCCCCACGCGCGCCGACCAGCGTCGCTGCGCCCGCATGTTTCGGCTCCCGCGGCCAAGCATCCGCGCAGCAGGGCGCGTCAACCGCACTCACTGGGGACGTATGCGCCCTTGCACCTCGCCCGCTCCCCACCCCGCTCTCGACTCCAGTCGCCTGACAACTCGGCTCCACCAACCTCCGCCCCGCCGTCCACCCCCTCCTCCTCCTTCCTCCTCCTCCTCCTCCACCTCCTCCTCTCACCTTCAGTATCCTGATCCTCTTCCCCCCTGCCGCCTTGCTCTTCCTGCCCTCCTGCATTTCTCGTCGCCTTCTGCCGCTCACCCAAAACCTCCCTCGAGAGAAAAGTCTGCGCGGCGTCCTTCTTGCCCGAGACGGAGCAGGTGTCGGCGTAATCTGAAAAGAAACTACTGTTTGCCACGAGCCATCCGGACCGGATCGGTCGATTGCCCCCTCCGTCCTCTTCCCGCATGGGCGATCGACGCCTAGACATCGGCGAGCATGAGGAGGAGGAGGAGGAGGAGGAGGAGGAGGAGGAGGGATAAGGAGTGAACAGGGTAGAGGACTCGCGCCTCGCTCTGAGATCGCCCAGGCCGCGCAGCGCGACGAACTTCGCGCCCTCGTGGTGGCCCGGCGCCGATCGGCGGGCCGCCCGCGACGAAGGCGCCCGCTTGGGGCGGCGGGCTGCGCAGGGTGGGCCTCGAGGGCCTCTGCGAAGAGCGACGCGGTTCGGCGCCTCTTCCTCGGGGACGAGTGCGCCGAGGAGCTGCACGATGGCACGGGCAATTCGGCGGCGGCGAGCGAGGCGGGGGGAAGTGAGAAGAAGGCCTTCTCACAAGGCGGCGGGGCTTCTCAGAAGGCCTTTGGGGAAAGCTTGGAAAACATCTCAGAAGGCTGGGGGACCTCCGAGCCTTCTGCGAAGGCCCGCCCCTTCTCACTTTCCCCCCAGGCTCGCCGCCGAGCTAAAACTTCAACCATAAGGTGACCATCGTGGGCAAAGGCGAGCCCTGAGCCTTCTGAGAAAGCCAGCCCCTTTTCACTTCCCCCCTGGGCTCTCCGCCGAGCAACCAATTTCAACCACAAGGAGTACATCCTGGGCAAGGGCGGGCCCTGAGCCTTCTGAGAAGGCCCGCCCCTTCTCACTTTCCCCCTGGGCTCCCCGCCGAGCAATACACTAGGAGCCCGACCACAAGAAACCTTGCACAAGAGAACTAATCCTGAGACCCCACGACGTCCATTGACTTTTGGTGTGGGAACGTCACGCTTTCCATAGCACAACCATCGAAACCAAGAAACTCTGGGCACCCTAGAGGCAAGTAGAGCGTTTCTTGGCATGGGCCTCCACCGGGTGGGCTTTGCAGGATCCCGCGAGATCCTGCAGGATCCTGGATCCTGCACCCATGCCCGGGTCAGTGCGCCCCTTGCTCTGCAGGATCCTGCAAGATCCAGCGCTCGGACTGACCTCCGTTTGCATTGACCCCCGTCTCTTGAGCCACGACCACCTTTCCATGTGGCGAGTTCCGGTAACCCTGAACCCACAAATGCTGCCCTCTCTTGGAGAAACGACCTCGGCTACCGCCGGCTTCCGCCAGCGGAGCCGCCCGCCCCCGTTATACCTCCGCCGCCTGCCGCCGAGCTTCCGCCGAGGAAGAGACGGCAACTCCTTCGCTCTGCGAAGGCGAGGCCCTTCCTGGAACGCCCCACGTGATGGAGAAGCCTGGCGCGCGGGATGGTACGACGCTCGAGGGCGGGAAGCAGTCCAGGGGCGACGCTGCGCCCGGGGGCGACCCGAAGCGTCGAGGGAGTGGCCCGCAACTCCAGTGCGGCACAGCGCCCGAGGCCAGTCTGCAGCGCGTGATCGGAGTGAAGCTCGCGGGCGGCAGGGAGCTCCAGGGCGGCATGAAAGGAGGCAAGAATCTCGGGGAGGCACGCGTGAATAAAAAGGAGAGGAGACGTGATGAGATCAAGAGGGCAAGGAACTCGAGGGCGGCACATTGCTCGGACGTCCACACCGTGTGCACCTGTCGGCTTCGGGCGCTTGTTTTGTCCAAGATGCTCCTCGCCAAGAAAACATGCACGCGTCCGAGCCATGCCGAGTCCAACGGCGCCGGCATCAGCCCGAGAAGCGGCGGCAGCATCAGCCTGGACGACAGCGCCGGCGATGGCATGACCGACGTGCGAGGGCAGCGGCAGCCTGCGCACGACGGCTCGAGCTGCATGTTCATGACGTCGACCCCCAAAGGTCTGGACCCCTTCCCCGAGACCGATTCTTCATCCCGGGTCGCTTTCTGACGGCCCCGATCCCCGGCAGAGGGCCCCCGGAGGCCGAAGACGAGGCACACCTCCCGTCGCGATTCCTTCGCACCGCGAGGAGGTCTGGGTCCGCGGGGCCCCGGGCGGCTGGCTCGATGGCCTCCCGACGCCGGCGCTCGTCGCCGGGGGCGCGGCGCACCCGCGGTGCTTCCGCGGAGGGCTGGGCTGCGGCCCCGCGGGGCGGGCGCCGCGATGTGGACGGAGAGCGCACGCCCGCGGCTGCGCGGCGCGGCGGGGCTGGCAGCGGAAGGTCTGCTCGCGACAAAGCGCACGCCTCTGCAGGCGCTCCCGCGCGCGGATAAAGAGGAGAAGGAGGAGGAGGAGAAGGAGGAAGAGGGAGAGGAGGAGGAGGAGGACAAATGCAAATCCAAGACTCATCCACGACGTTGGAGTGCACCCTCCCTCCAAACTCCCTCTTCACAGGCCCCGTCCAAAAATTCATGTCCACTGATAGTAATGCCCCGCTGGGAGACAAGCGTGCGAAAATCCTGACGCGTGCCAAGACACCATTCTCGGGGCTCCAACGCCACGAATCAACCTGATTGCTGCCTTTTGACGATCCTGAATCCTGCCTGAACACGATTCCTGGGACTTCAACACCGCGAATCAATGAAACTGTTACGCCGTGGCGCTCCTGAGTCGTTCCAAGACACCGGAAGCGGCTGGACTGCGGCCCCGCGGGGCGGGCGCCGCGATGTGGACGGAGGGCGCACGCCCGCGGCTGCACGGCGCGGCGGAGCTGGCAGTGGAAGGTCTGCTGGCGACAAAGAGCACGCCTCTGCAGGCGCTCCCGCGTGCGGATAAAGAGGGGGAGGATTTTTTTCCCTGCAAGCCGTTAGGCAGAACCGAGGGGCCACGGTTGGCCCGGGCCACGGTTGGCCCGCGCGCGGGCGCCCCACGGGCCGCGCCCGGGGCGCCTCCGGCGCGCTCACACCTTGGAGGTGGGGGGAGAGGACCCCCAGCAACGACTCCCAGAGGGTGGGGCCCCAGCCGGGAAGGCTGAGGGGGGCCCACGGGAGACCTGCGTCGCCGACGGCGCGTTTTTAAAAAAACCCCGGACCCGGGACCCAAAAACGACACGACGACACGACACGACGGGGGGACGGAGACGCGGCACGACCGACGACGCACGACACGACACGACACGCACGACAACGACGGGACGAGCCGCCGGTCCCGCCCCAGGGCGGCGAGTGCAGGGTGGGAATCCTGCGCCGCCCTGGGGGAGGCCACGGGACCTGGCGACCCCCCTGGGGAAGGAAGGCCGCGCTTATGGCGGCTGTCCCCAGGGTGCGGGGGCTTGTGCCCTGAAGGCCCGGTGCTCCCCGCCTGCACCAGGGGGCGCAAAGGCCCGGCCCCCACTCTTGGGGGGCCCCTCCAGGGGATAAAGAGGGGAAGGAGGAGGAGGAGGAGGAGGAGGAGGAGGAGGAGGAGGAGGAGGAGGAGGAGGACAAATGCAAATCCAAGACTCTTCCACGACGTTGGAATACACCCTCCCTCCAAGCTCCCTCTTCACAGGCCCCATCCAGAAATTCATGTCCACTGATATTAATGCCCCGCTGGGAGACAACCGTGCGAAAATCCTGACGCGTGCCAAGACACCATTCTCGGGGATCCAACGCCACGAATCAACTTGATTGCTGCCTTTTGACGATCCTGAATCCTGCCTGAACACGATTCCTGGGACTTCAACACCGTGAATCAACAAAACCGTTACGCCCTGGCGCTCCTGAGTCGCTCCAAAACACCGGATGCGGCGGAGCATATACGCTTGGTCATGAACTGGTACAGGTACTGATGGAGAATGAGGATTGGCAGGCGTAGCCTGCTGCTGGCCATCGTGTGCATGTGCAAGTTCTGGCAGCAGAGTGCTGTTGGTCTCGTTTGTGCTGGTCGCCGGGCACGTATTCCTGAAGCTCCCAGAGCTGCCATCGGCACTCAGATGTACGAAGAGCTGATCCAGTTCGGACACTTCGAGCTTCCGATAAAGGTCGTTGTTGTAGCCCGCTCCCTCTGGATTCCACAGCAATCGCGTGGGCTCTGTCGGGCCCTGTGGGATGAGCTCAACCAGCGGCACCGCGTTGATCGTGACGATGCCCTTCGCTCTGATGCGTTTCCATGGGTACCCAGGGTGTCTGGTCTCCAGCAAGGTCTGCATTCGTTTTGTTCGCACCTCCGTCTGGGTCTGTTTGGGGCTCTTGTGTGTGTCCAGGAACAGCGGGTTGGTGGCTCCCTGTGTCGATGCATTGGAATCGCCTCCAGCTGCCACCGCGGAGACGAAAGGCCGCCGCCAACTGCCTCTGCCTGGCTGCCTGCTCCGGCCCGCACTTCGAAGATGCGGCGGCGGGAGGGACCAGCTTTTCCGTGGAAGTGGATTTCTGACGTCCAGGTTGGCGTCTGCGACCCACTCGGTGATGGAGCGCTTGACCTCGAGGGCGGAGACTGATGTCGCCGATCCTGCAGTGAAGACGTATGGACTGGGCTCACGATCCCATGCTGCCAGCCTTGCAGCGTCGAGGGCAGGAAGCTGGGCCTCCGCCGCGATGAGGACTTTCTGGATGCGTTCGAGATCGTGGCGCATGTCCTTCTGTTCGCGTTCCTGCCGCTGCTGCTCCATCTGGACCTTGCGCAAGTCGGTCTCTACGTGGTTGAGGCGCCGCTCGGTCGGTGCCAAGAGCTGCTGCAGTGTGCCCTGCATCTCTTGACTGACGCCTTGGAGGGCGGTGTGACAGATGCCCTGCACCTGCAGCGCGATGCCAGCGAGCGAGCGCGTTGGCGATGGCCTCATGTGCTGAAGTCCCCTCCTTTGCCCGCGCCTTTGCCTTTGCCTCCGCCGGGGCCGGTGGGCGTGGGGGTAGGCGAAGGCGGAGGCCTCAGGCCAGGCGTCAGGTCCAACACTACCCTCCTCTGGTGCTGGCGTGAGGCAGGAACCTGCGGCACCTCCGGCGGGTCCAGGGAGTCCACGCTCGCGCGCTGCAGCGGCCCGTGCATGGGGTACCTGGCCGGTGAGGTGCTGTTGACGTTGGGCCTGCTCTTGAATGGGGAACGTCCGGGAAGCCCCTCCGTCGTCCATGCGGAAGTGTTTAAAACAGGGCTAGGATCGGGATAAATCGCTCCAGAGCGTTCCGGAGCGCTCTCAGAGCGTTCCGGAACGCTCTGGAGCGGCCGCGGCGCCCAATACATCCTCCAAACCCGCCGATTCTCAGAGATTTCGAGTTATCCCGATCCGATTTTGTCCCGATCGTCGCCTCGTTTTGAGGTTCCAGTGGGCCTTGCTGGCCAGGCATGGAACTGGTGGGTCCTTGGACTTGTCTGGACATCGATGGCCCAGGCTGGGCGTGCTGCGGTACGGCGGTGGTCTCCGCCCGCAGCGGCAGCGCGAGCCCGACGATCGGATCGGCGGCCCTGGCGGCGGGCGCGTCCGTTACTTCGGGAGGTGTCTTGCTCCTCAGAATGACTGGGGAGGAGGAGGAGGAGGAGGAGAAGGAGGAGGAGTCAGCCCGATCTCTGGATTCCTCTCGGGCAGCGGGCTCACCAGTGCGGGCAGCAGCAGCCGCCATCGCATGAAACCCCCAGGAACTCACGGATAGGGTCGAACCGAGGGCACGGTCGGGCAATGGATATCTAGGTGGGGCAGAAGCCCAGACAATGAAACGCAATGCGCCGGACGCCCGGTGCTCGAGAGACAGCGACGGATGGGCCAAAGCTAATCCCAGATTCCCGTGTCACCGACCCTTCACTAGGTTTAGCCTTGAGCCCAGTTGGCTACGGAGGAGGACGATGAGGAGGATGAGGAGGACTGAGCCAGAGTTACCGGCCGTACATATGCAAGGCTCCCCCCCGGGCCATCTCGCCCCTGCTGCAGCCGCCGAGAGGGGGAGGAAGTTGTGGTGAGCACCTCCGCAGGGGAAGGAGGATGGAGGAGGAGGAGGAGGAGGAGGAGGAGGAGGAGGAGGAGGAGGAGGAGGAGGAGGAGGAGGGGCGCGAGGGGCCGTGGAACTGCCGACGGGCCCGCGAGACGAGCGGCGCGAGGGGCGCGCCTCGGGCTGCAGACGACAGCGCGTGCCGCCCGGCACCCCGGCGGAGCGCCTGCTCTCTCGGCTCGGCAAGGCCCACCGCGCCTCGTCGGCGCGGGGTCGCCCATTTGGTCGGGCCGCCCTCGCTCCCTCGCCCGCCGATCTCCTCGGCGGGCGACTGGCGCAACGCTTTCCGAAGGGGGGGGCCTCCCCGGCGCTCATAAGAAAGCAGGAGGAGGAGGAGGAGGAGGAGGAGGAGGAGCGGTTGCAGAAGGAGGAGGAGCATGATGATGATCATGAGGATGAGGATGAGGAGGAGGAGAAGGAGAAGGAGGAGGAGGATGCGGAGGAGCCGGTATCTCGGAGGAAGCTGGCCTCTGGATTGGGCTGTTACCTCTTCAGCTTGGCTGCGATGCTCTTCTGGTGAACCTCGCCGGACCTGCCGACGAGCACTGTGTACACTGAGCCCGGGGCGCTGTGAGCGCCAAAGAGCCTCAATGTGATACTGCGCGCGCAGCAAACATTCCATGACAATTGCTCCGTACGTATACGTTTACAAGTCGATCGACCATCACACCTGCGTTTGCAAGCCGATCGAATAATGCACTTGCCAAGAACCAACAAATCCTGCACTGGCTCAGAAAAAGGCGACGGGCACAAGGCACGGAAAAAAGGGTCGTGTCCGCTGCAGCACGAGTCGTATTTCGCGCAGTCATCGTTGCACTGGCAGGAGTGCGTGCCATCATACTTGACGCAACCTGCCCCTCTCCGCCTCCTCTTCTCCTCCTCCTCCTCCCCCTCCTCCTCCTCCTCCTCTTCTCCTCCTCCTCCTCCTCCTTCTCCTCCGCCTCCTCCTCCTCCTCCTCCTCCTCCTCCTCCTCCTCCTCCTCCTCCTCCTCCTCCCCTCCATTCCTTTTCCTTATAAACAACTTCTCCCTGTCGCACCCCAAGGCCAGTTTTAGGGCGGTCCGGGCGTTTCGCCTGGGACGTCCCCATCATCTATGACCCTGACGCTTCAAAACATGGACAACCATTTCACAGATGAAGGGCGGGCCGTTTTCAAAATGCCGATCTCGCCTTAGCGCCGCGCACATTTGTTTTAACATTTGCAAGAGTTTCACGGATAGGGGGCGACTGGGTCTCAAAATGTAGCTCTCGCCTCAGCGCCGCGCACATTCGTGACACTCAGGAACCATCGAAACTCAGGAAACCCACGACACCCTGGAGGCAAGCAGGGTGTTTCTTGGCAGGCCTCCACTGTGAGGCCCCCCTGGAAAAGACCAACGACTCCCGAAACAATAATGCCGACTACGTAGATGTTGTCGGAAACCACCCAAACCGTCCCCTCGACTCCTCCTGGGCTCCACCCCTGCCAATTTATCACTCCGGATCGAGCTCCGACGGTCAAGGGGGACACGGGCCTGCAGGGGCCGATCATGAGAGAAATCCTCGTCGGCGTCGTGGTCGCAGTCTCGGTCGTCGTCGTCTGACCCCCCAAAGAAGAAGGACATCGCCATGAACATCAACTTTCGGAGGTCCGCGCGGATTCCTTGGATCGGCGCTGGAACTCAAACCCTGGTGGGCGGAGCGCGCCAGAGGCGGCGCTGCAGGCGCCGTCAGGGGGATCCAACGCCGATCCAGGAAATCCGCGGGGACCTCCAGAAGTTCTTCATTACGGACAGGAGCTTTTGCTTAGCGTTAGGTCGGGCATGCCCCCCCCCCCCTACAGGCGGATTGTGGAGAACAAGTAAAACAAAGCCAACACAAACATCGAGAAGAGTGAGAAATATTCAAAAGTCTTTTTATACTTTTTGAATATTTCCTCCTGTAGAGCCCGACTTCAGCTCAGCGTGTCGCGGCGTCGGCCCTTGCGGCACGCTGTGCCCTTCAGGCTGGGAGCGTGTCGCTCTGCTTCGTGGGAGACGGGGGCCTCATGGAGGCAAGGAGGATTGGGAGCTGGAACGAGCTCGGGCGTGTCCTCGTGCAGGCGGATGTTGGAAGAGAATGCAACGCATTTGTTGTTTTAAGCCCCAAAAATGCCCCGCACCATTTCTATCATCGTCCCCAAACTGTTTTTCACTATTGTTGGATCTTCTTCCTGTAGGGGGACATGCCGGGCTCCAAAGCCGGAGAGTGCCCTGCGCGCCACGCCGGGCCAGGGCAGTCGGGGATTTATCCATATCCACCTCCTACCTCCTGGGAGCCGACGTCCCAATTCCCTGGGGGCCCGAATATATTCATGTCCACCGTCTGTAGAGGTCTGCGAACATGGATCCTCCAGGCGGTGGTCGTGTGCACCCCCCCCGCCTCGGAGACTCTTCTGAGCAAGCGCGTTCCACCCCTCTCGAGGGTAACTGGTCGCAGATGGCCTGGACCCTCCTCGGGGGATCCGGGACAGGAGCACATCGAGGCACACATGTGTGTGTGTGTTGCCTGACGCTTGCTACTAGGCACTTTTGCGAGCAGCGGAACGCGCTTGGTGATTTCTTTCTCCCAACCCTCCGGGGCGCCGTAGGATGCGCACGAGCCCTCCTCCCGGTCCTCCTCGTCGCCGGGCGCCTCCTCCCCGAGCCTGGCGCCCTGCTCCGCC